TGGTAAACTAAAAAAAAAAAAGTAGGCTAGACAGTACTACTAGATGGATTTGTAACTGCTTGACAGATCAAAATTAACATGGGACTTCAAACGTCAATGGGGCTACATCCAGGGATGAAATCAACTTACCTTCACTACTGGTTTGCAAATGGGAGCACCACATTTTTTAGTGGAAAAATTTGCCTTCAGTTGCTGTGGGTGCTCCATCAATTGAGATTTTTAAGAATTGGACAGCCCCTTGTCTGGACCCTGCTTGAGCAGGGGGTTGGACTAGATGACCTCCAAGGACCCCTCCAATGCTGTTATTCTGTTATTAAAATGTGGATTACTTCCAAGTATTTCTTAGTTCTTTTAATGATAGTCCTTGGTTCTTAGCTAACTTGAAGCACTTCTATTTAATTCATGCGTTATACAAGACATTTATTATTAAGTACCTTTGGAAAATTCTAATTAATTTAGGAGATGTTTTAGACAATTATAAACAGATATATTGACTCTGGGGATTTTATTTTTCAAATACTTTCAAATGATTATGTTTCCTTATTTTGTTTTATAGATCTCTCTCTCTTTCTCTCTCTCTCTGTGTGTGTGTGTCACACACACACAGAAACACACACACACACACACACACACACACACTTTTCCTTGAGTAGCAAATAAGCAAATAAGGTAGCAAATAAGAAAAAGAAAACAGGCAAATTTTCATTTACTTTGCTGGCTTTTCGGGAGGGTTGCCAATGACCAAAATATGGCAAAAATACAAAATATTACAAAATTAAGCAGAAATATGGCATAACACTTTTAAAGAGTCAAAATGTCAAACTTAACAAAATAAAAAGCATCTAATTTTCACTAGATTACTCTAAAACATGTTTTAACTTATAAATTCAAATAAAGCTTTCAGAAAAAATATGACATCACAGAAATTCACGTCCTAGTAATAACTGTGAAAAGGATCTTGGAGTCCTAGTGGACCATCACTTAAGTATGAGCCAGCAGTGTGGTGCAGTTGTCAAAAGGCTAATGAAGTCCTAGTGATAGCATCAAGATCACAAGAAGTGACAGTACTGCTCACTATTGGATATATATTGAGGCCACGCTTGGAATAATGTTCCAGTTCTGGTTGACACAATACAAAGATGCTGGGGTCCTGGAAAAAGCAACAAAGATAAAGGTTTGAAGGCTAACTATATGATAAATGGCTAAAGAAATTAGATATATCCAACCAAATGGATAAGGATTCGGAGTGGCACAATAGCTCCCTTCTAGTACTGGAGGAGCTGTCACAAATAAGAGGTAGTACACCTGTTCTCCAAAACACCTGATGCCAGGAGAAGCAGCAGTGGCTCGAAGCTCGTTAAAGAAAGATCCAAACTGGAACTGATGAGAAATTTCCTGACAATGTGAACACTATATCAATGGAAGAGCTTGCTTTCTGGAATTGTGAGTATTCCATCACTGGTAGTTTCCAATAAATGTCGGACAGTCATTTTTCCGGGATGATTTAAGGACTCCTGCCTTAGGTAGGGGGTTGAACTAAAAGACCTTCCAGATTATTTCAGCCTTATGATTCTATAAATAATAAAAGTGGTAAATAAATAAATGTCAATAAAATAAAAGGCAGGGAATGTGTAGTCATAACTATTGGCTTCAAAATGCAGGTATAACTGATTGATAAAATCCATGCCTCTTTTATTGTGTTTTGTACACACTGCAGGTTGTTTTTTTTTTAAAGGTGAAATTTTCTTTACTCAGTTGCACCTGCCATTGCTGTGAAACTTTTGTTCCATAGAGGTTTGAATATTATAAAAATTAGAAAAATCATTGTAATGCTGAAGGAAGTTCAACAATGGACCAGAGGCATTGGGCTACCCATCATTGGTTGTATTAAAGCAGAGATAATGGGTTTGAGAATGATCAAGCGATTAAAAATAATCCTATGAAGACTGACGACAGAAAATGGGAAAGTTTAGTTTAGATTTGTGCATGCGAGATGAGAATGGCAGCCAGGCTCTTTCGCTCCGGCTTTGGTAGGCGAAAAGCATTGGAAACCCTACGAAACTAGCCTGGAGACTATGCGGGAAGGGGTCCCTGTAGAAGATCACGATTCAGGGGACCTGAAAAGGCAGTTATCTGGGGGGTTGCCACTTTCGAGTGGCTCCCGGTCGGTGCGGCCGCCCACGGTGGCTCTCGTACTACTCGGCAGAGAGGATGGCGGCGCTGCACTGACGGCGGCGTTTTCGGCGGTCTTGGCGTCTTTCGGCCTCGTTTTTTCGACCATGGGGAGCCCCTGGATCTATGCCGGACTATCATCGCCCCATGGTGGTCAGCCTGTGATGGTGCTGGGCGAGACTGGGCGGCTGGCTCTATCTGCCGCCACCGCGGCCCCTTCAGGCGCTCCCCTCCTTTTCTATTCGACTCGGCCTTCCCTTTTGCGCGGCCTCTCCTCCGCTTTGCCCTCGCTGCTACGGGGCCTCCTCTTACTTGACTTTTGGCTCTTTCTAATTGCGGCCTCTAGGCTTCTGGACTTGCGATCTCAGCCCCATCCATTACGACCATTGCCACCTGTTGTTGCCCCAGGAGTGCCGCCTCAGCCAGCGCCATTATTCGACTCACCTCACTTTGGCGCTATGGATTTCTACAGCGAGTGTGAGGGTCCTTTGGCATGCTGGCGACGCCTGCAGCTTGCTCCCTGTTGCACTCTTTCAGTGGAAAGGAGCAACAGAAGATGGCGAAGACATGGGTGGGGACTTAACACCTTTTCAGCCGGCGCATCCCCCCCCCCTTTCAATACACCTCAGCCACCCCAGACTTTGGACCCCTTTGCTACACCGTTCCAGGTCCATAGGAGAGGGGGGAAGATGAGACACTCTCCCCCTACCCCATCACCGGTTTCCAGCTATTTGAACTGTATGAACTGCTTGCACAATATTAATACCTGCACAAATTTTTCTGTATATGGAATGTTTGTATGCATGTAAATGAATGATCCCACGTTTTAAATTAATTTAATTTTATATCCTCTATTTTATTGTACTATTATATGCTTTTTTTTTTTTTTTTTTNTGGCCTCTCCATTCTTCCTCCATACTCTGGGTCCTTGGTTTCCAAATGAGATGCAAAATTTGCTCTCATTTGCATCTCATTTGGAAATCAAGGACCACAGGTTTCACACGTATACATTATGATTGAGCATGGTGCATGGATCCAGCCCATAACACACTTAGAATGCTGCATCCAGTTTTGGTCACATTATAAAATAGATGCTGAGACTCTGGAAAGAGTGCAGAAGACAGCAACAAAGAGGATTAGGGGGCTGAAGACTAAATCAGATGAAGAATGGTTGTAAGAATTAGGTATGTCTAGTGGAAAAAAAAGGGTGGCTCAGTGGCTAAAATGTTGAGCTTGTCAGTCCAAATGGTCAGCAGTTCAGCGGTTCAAATCCCTAGCGCCACGTAACTGAGTGAGCTCCCGTTACTTGTCCCAGCTTCTGCCAACCTAGCAGTTTGAAAGAACGGGAAAAAAATGCAAGTAGAAAAATAGGAACCACATTTGGTGAGAAGGTAACAGCGTTCGGTGCGCCTTCGGCGTTTAATCATGCCAGCCACATGACCACGGAAACGTCTTTGGACAGCGCTGGCTCTTTGGCTTTGAAACGGAGATGAGCACCGCCCCCTAGAGTCGGGAACAACTAGCACATATGCATGAAGGGAACCTTTACCTTAGTGAAAAAAAGGACTAGGGAAGAAATGATAACAGTCTTCCAATATTTGAGGGGTTGCCACAAAGTTGATAGGGTCAAGCTATTATCCAAAGCACCTGAAGGCAGGACAAGAAACAATGGTTGGAAACTAATCAAGGAGAGAAACAACCTAAAATAAGTATACATTTCCTAACAGTGAGAACAATTAATCAGTGGAAAGGATTGCCTTCAGAAGTTGTGGGTACTCTATCACTGGAATTATTTAAGAAGATATTGGACAGCCGGTTGTCTGGAATATTGTATTTCTCCTTCTTGGAAGCATCATTTTTTTTTTACAATTTTCTAAGACTGAGCTAATTTATTTTAAACCGATTAAAGCTTCGTGGTTACCAAGCATTGTGCTTTTTCTAGGCGTCTAAAACCTGTTCCTTTGCTATTCACCGGCATAAGCTGCTTTTATGAACTTAAATCGAAGTGTGAATTCATAATGATTAATTGCACCATAATTTCCATGCAGCAGGACAAGGATTATTACGCAACGCACCCGCCCCGCCCCGCGCCCTCCTGCTTAATAACCTCCAGCGAGGTCAACGCACCGCCTTTCACAATCGACTGTCCTTCTGCACGACCCATAGTCAACAGGGAAAAGGTGAAGAGTGGACGGGGCCGCTCTGTCCTCGCCTTGTGGTTGGTCGTCAACATCTGTACGGGCATACATTTTTAGAGGATAACGTTGATTGGCTTGGGTTGCTGTCAGTCTGCAGACGCCATGCTCTGATTGGGCAGCGCTGGAGAATGCTCAGGACCTGATTGGTGGTTGCTATTGCGACCGCCCATTGGGGTAGGTGATAGCGTAGAGGTCAGTAGTTTGTTTCGCCAAATCATGAACGGTATAAAAGCTTATGGCCCGGCTCTTTCCCGAGGGCTTTTCCTTCTCAATCTCCCTTTGTCTGAGGTCTTCCGACTGCGCCCGCTCTTCCTGGGTTGCCCCATAATACCACACAATCGCTTCTCTCAAAGCTTCACCTCCGCCAGCGTCCAATCACCCGCCGGGGCCGATCGCTTCGTCATCCGTGATTGGCTGCGACTCATGATTCTCATTCCCACATTTATCCCAGCCCTTTTGAATAACCGCGCGCTCCTGGATTCTTAGTGGACCAGACCTCGTGTCACTCCGAGGGGCCCGAACCAATAGTGAAGTCGGGGGCTCCTCGCGCTCGTCCGCTATTGGCTTTTTGCCGCCCGGCGGGCCCGCCCCTTTTCGTCCCCCTTGGAAAGGGCTATAAGCTCCTGAGGCGGACGAAGCGAGACCGGCTGGGACGTGTGAAACTGTGCCAGGCGGCGGGTCGGTCATGGCGGCCGGGCTCGTGCTACTGACGCTGGGGCTCTGCGCCCTTGGAGGCGCCTCGGCAGCAGGTAGGGCTGGTCTGTGGGGGCCCCCAGGGACGCTTCCATGCCCGAAGTGCCCCCGCGTTAGTTGGTTTCCACTCCGGAGGAAGAAGACGGGGGGCGCGGGGGGAGAAATCTTCCATAAAACGGCTCGGAAGCCTATTTCGATCGTTGGTCGCCGCGTTCCTGGAGGAGGGAAGATGCCTCGCCTGCCTCGAGTTCATGAAAAGGGGGGGGTCGTCCCCTCGTTCGTTACTCGTTAGGAGGGAAATGTCCCCCTTCAAGATAATGAGGGGAGGGGGGCTCCTTATACGGTAATTTATATTGGGGGGGAGAGAAAATGTTTCCCTCAAGTTAATGAAGGAAGGAGAGGGAGACTTCTCTTGTACATTTGGGGGGAAGGGGGACATCTCCCCCTCAAGGCTCCTCATACATTATTGGGTGGAGGGAAATGTCCCCCTCAAGGTAAGGGGGCACGGGGGCTTATATATTGAGGGGAGGGGGAATTTCCCTGAAGTAATGAGGGGAGGGGGCTCCTCATATGGTACTTTATGGGGGGGAATGTTCCCCTCAAGTGAATGAAGGAAGGGAGGGAGACTCATCTTGTACATTTTGGGGGGAGGAAACATCTCCCCCCTCAAGGTAATAAAGGAAGGGGGCCTTATATATTGAGGGGAAATCTTCCCCTGAAGTAATGAGGGGAGGGGGCTCCTCATAAAGTACTTTATGTGTGTGTGGGGGGGGAATGTTGTACATTTTGAGGGAAGGGAACATATTCCCCTCAAGGTAATGAGGGGAGGGCGTCTCGTACTTTATTAGGGGGGGAAATGTCTCCTTCAAGACAATGAGGGGAGAGGGATCCTAATGAATGTGGTGGGGTGGGCCTCCTCTTGTACAATTTTGTGGGGAGTGAAAATGTCCCCCCTCAAGATAATTGGGGGGGGAATGCCTCCCTGGCTGTTAATGAGGGGAGGGGGCTCATACATTATTGAGGGGACGGGAAATTTCCCTCTCAAGGTAATGAGGGGAGGGCTTTTCATACTTTATTGGGAAGGGAATGTCTCCTTCAAGACAATGAGGGGAAGGGGATCCTCATACCTTATTTGGGAGAGGGAAAAGTCACCCTTGAGATTAGGGGAGGGAGGGGATCCTCATTGGGGGAGGGGAAAAATCTCCCCTCAAGTTAATGAATGTGGTGGGGTGGGCTCTTCTACATTTTTGTGGGGAGGGAAAATGTCCCCCTTCAAGGTAATATGGAGGGGAAACTGCCTCCCCCCTGTTAATGTGAGGAGTGAGGAATCATCTCCTACATTATTGGGGGGGGGGAAATCTCCTCAAGATAATGAGGGGAGGGGGCTCATACTTTTTTGGGAGGGAAGAAAATGCCCCGCTCAAGACAATAAGGGGAGGGGGGACCTTGCTACATTATTGGGGAGGGAAAATGTCCCCTGCTCAAGATAATGAGGGAGAGGGAAAGCACCTTCCCACATGTTAATGAGGGGAAGGGGATTCTTCTCATACATTATTGTTGGGAGGAAAGTCTCCCCCTCAAGATAATGAGAGGAGGGGAGCTTCTCAATATTGAGGGGAGGGAAAATGTGCCCTTCAATGAAGGGAGGGGGCTCAAACGTTTTTGAGAGCAGGGAAAATGTCCCCCTCAATATGACGGGAGGGGGAGATCTCATACATTATTGGGAGGGAGAATGTTCCTACATTATTGTTGGGAGGAAAGTCTCCCCCTCATGTTAATGAGAGGAGGGGGAGCATCCCTCATACATTCATGGGGTGGGGGTGGGGAGTTGGAGAAGCTCTCTGGAGGATTGGAGTAGGTACATACTTATACAGTGATTGGGCAAGAGTGTCCCTGATGTGATTGGTGGGGAAAGTCTCCTCATCCCTTCAAGAAGGGAGGAGGAAGTCATACCCTGTCTTAATGGGGAAGGGACCAAGTCCCCCTCCTCTGTTACAGAAATGGGGAGAAGTATGAAGCTAGCCCAAGCTGATATATTGTGTAATTATTGTTTTTTTAGGCAAGGTGAAATAGAATTGTGTAGTGTGAGCTTCAGCCTACTATGAGAATCAGTCAAGTGTGCTAGACTATTGTTTTTTTTTTATTTTAGGTGGCTAAAACCCACCTCAACCTAATTATTGGGAAATTAGGAGGAATGTGTGATAGATATGTTCACTGCCGAGTTATTTGTTAAGTAATAAAGGTGGGATACAAATAAATAAGTAATTTGGTGTAAACTTAGCTGTATTGTAGGAAGCGGTATTGGGAAGAGCAGTGGAGAGATACTGAGCTCATGATAATGGGCCAGAGGGTTAGTATCTCACATATTGTTTGTGTAGGAAGAGAATAGTTAAGAAGCTGAAACTCAGGAAAGAATATAGTTCTTCCTTGTGTGGGAATGGGGAAAAGGAGGGGAAGAAGTTGAAATGTATGAGTGATCTTCCATGTATGGAGAATATGCATTCATATACAGCATGGGAGAGACTGGATAATACAATGCTGTCGCTTATATTACATTACTAAAAACACATTCTTGCTCATTTATTATAGCTTTCTTGATTTCCTGTTTGATACTTTTCTGATTGGCGTAAATAGTAAGGTATTTGCATTTTTAAAAAATAATGAAATTAAGGGAGGGTTTTAAACAACATTTGTATTTTATATTTGAAAATTAATTACTTTCCAGACTATTTTCAGTATTTAAAGAGATTTTCCCAATAGCCTCCCACTCACAAAATGCCTGCCAGAATTACCCTTGGAGAAAAACCAAACATACTATAGTATACAATAATTACAAGTAGCAATGTGTCTTAAGAATGAATTCAAACATTGAAATGAATATCAAAAACAATGGCAAAGTATAAAACAAAGTACACAAGGAAACATTCATGTCTTCTCTCTGATATGCAGATTTCTATGTAATTTTCTAAAATTTTAGACTGTTTTCATCAAGACTTCATCTACATTTCCCATACTCTATTTCCTATTCAAATTTTTTGAACATCCCTGTGAAGGAATTTAAAACTCATAACTTATATTAATTAATGAAATATAAAGGAATATGCATGATAAATTCATACAAGTCTTTTTGACAGACAATATCTAAATAAGTAAAAGCTATAGTATCTTTGATTTTTGATTCCTGTTGCAAGGATGAAAGACTTTTAATTTTTTCCTCTCTCAGATTTTCAAGAAATGTTTTTTTTAGTATTGATAAGGAAAGAAAAGAAAATAGCTAAGGAGTAATTGTTTGTACTGAGAAGCCAGAAGTGTTGCTCTGTGAGTCAGATGAGCAGTTTCCAAATTGGATTAATAAAATTCTGAATCCACTAGGAAACCATCATAGTGCAGAGAGAAGTAACAGGCTAAATTAGGCTTGAAGTAAAAGTTCTCTTGAATCTCAGACTACAAGATTTTTTAAAACACTGTAAGATTTCTGGATAGATTTTTTTCACATGGGTGTTAGGAAAATATGTTTGTCCGCCATGAAAATTTAAATGTAAAGAACATAATGAGTGTGCCTGTAAAAGAAAGGTTAGGAACCTTTATTATGAGCCCAATATCTATAAGGATTGAGTTTCATAGGTATAGTCATGTGAATCTGTGAGAAGGAATATGAGGAGAAATTTCCCAAATCAAATTGAAATTGAAATCACAATGGCAGTGTTGCCACAACACACACTCTTCTGAATAGTTTACTGCATGCTTTTTGAAAAAAAGATGTAAACCAAAGAAAAATGGTATGCTTCTGCCTCATTGACGGGTGAACCTCTCATATGAGTTATTGACTTCTGCAGATAGATGTAGTGAGATACGGGAGAAATGTGTTGGACTTAGGCAATCTTACTTAGAAGGAAGGGAATAAAGGAGGATGACAATAGTAGTAAGGGTGAGTCACTTTTCTAGACATTTAAAAGAAAATAGCAATAGGAGGAACAAGTTTAGATGGCTTTGTGAAAATAGAGGAAGAAAAGTATGTGTTTCATCACAATGGGGTACAATTTTTGGTGCCTGAAGTAATAAGTTTATTCACTGATTAAAATTGTCTCCTTAATATGAATCATTTAAATGTAAAGCTGCCTTGATCTTTTACTCTCATCTCCCAATGTAGAATTTATTTTCCCTCCCACTTTAATGACTGTGGTCTAGGCCAGGGAACAGATTTCCTGACATTTGGGGCTTACTGTGGCTGGCATTTTCAAAGGCAGTGCCAGTGAAATATCAGAAAATTTGATATGTAACGCACAGTTGCCAAATCCTGCAGCACAAAACTGCCCAACAGGTTTGTTTGTTTTATGCTTTCACAATCCTTAAGTTCCTCATCTAATTGAAGAATATGCCATTCCTACATCATGGTTGCTCTTAATATGTTCTTGGTTTCATCAAAATTCTTATCCAGTGCTACTTAGCATGCAGGTTTTTAAATTAGATGTATCTTTTAAACTAGAAACTGCAAACTGTAGTTCTTAACACCAGCTACCTTTGATATTTCATATATTGTTTTTCAGCTTGCACTGAAGGTAGAGAAGTTAAAGCAACTTTGGAGTAGAAATAAGTTCCATGTTCCCACTGTTTTGTTCGTTAGAAATAGGCATAGGCATGATAAAAAAATTCCTTAATTACACAACAGATGAATATCTTAACCATAGTTTCAACTTAGAAAGCTGTGAGCCTCCTAAATCAAGTCTAAAAATGCTAGAGAATTCTTGGAGGCCTGACATTCAGACAAATAAGTCATCAACAGGCACCGAGAGATAAACAACATCTACATACCATTGAAAAGAAACAATCAGAAAACCAAAAAGAAATAAATGCTCTTCACACCAATCAACACCCAGATAAGCAGCGATTAATACCAGATCAAGGAACCACCAAGAACAATCCCATCAACGCTGACAGAGCAAGCCACTTGTATATAAGCAGAGTAAATGCCATTCCCTTCTAGCACTGATTATGTTGCCTAGATGGATAATGAAATGTCTGCAAGAAAACAGCCAAGCGCAGATAGTACCAAAGA